TTTTTTTTTTTTTTTTTTTTTTGGCTTTATTTGTAAATCTAGTTTCTCTTATTCATAAGACAGTGTTAATATTCAGGGCTGATATGTCTGCTAAATTTAAACTTCAAAGATTCTCTTCTACACAATATACCAGTCTCCCAACTGCCGCCTCCATATGAAACCTCTTTTTCTTGGGTTACTCTTACAAAAGCTGCCACTTTAGAAAATAAATAACAAAGGACAGCAGTGATTTAAATCTGGAAATTTAAGGATGAGGCCACATCTGCCGTAAATAGTTGCATTCAGCTGCGGTATTTAGTCCAGATGAGATACGAGGTCACCTAATGTGATGCGTGCCTTAGTGTGCCAGGGAACAATAGGGCATGTCAGGAGCTGGTTTTACCTTCAGCTCTGAGTTTCCTGCTCTCTATCGGTTTAAATCAACTCCTGTGTTATGTTGAATACTTGGTGTTTTACTAATCAGCTTCAAGAGCAGCAGCCACTTGAACTTGGTTTAGAGCTCAGTTTAGACGGTCTGAGGGGGAAATAAAGTTGCTCTTTCATAGGGTAAAGTGGGAAATATTCAGGGTTACATAAGTGATCAAAGGAAAATGCTCAGAAGAACTTGGTTTATATCAAAACTTCAGTCAATTTTAATTTTTAACTTTGGAGTGATTATAACTTATAAATGAAGTGAAATGATAATATTTAAATATTCCTTTAGAGGATGTCAGTCCCAGTAACATTCCTTAAGTATGGAGATTGGCTGAGTGGATTGATACAATAGAGAAGTATGCTGTTATATTCATTAACTGTTGTCTAAATAGAAGGAAAAATAAACACAACCAGGAGACTGATACTTCATCCTTTACCGGAACTGACAAGTCAAGCAGGTTCTCCATGTGAGGCTAATTACTTCCAGACTCAGCTGTCCTTCCCAGACCACAGATTTACTGGTTAATTTTTGGAAAGGGTCTTGGTTTGTTAAACCAGGCCTATTTCAGTATCCGTTTAAAGAACAGGATTTTATAGGTGGCCTGACAGTATTTCTTTGTCCTACCTTACTATGTAATACAATATTTATGGGATAGTTGAGTAATTAGATATATGTGGACAAGAGCAACTGTACATTTTGGGCATCTTAGATGCTTTGTGAGTGGTTTACAGAGTTATTTATAGGCCTGTCTTTGGTACTAGTATCTTTCCAGGTTGGAATGCTATGGTAGGCAGTGTTAGAAGTTCACAACCTGTGCCTGGATGTCATTTTGGCTTTCTCAGAAATAATTAGCTCATTGAATAAATATTTATTGAACACTGACTGTGGGCCAGGTGCTGTGTATAGTTGAGAACAGAGTCTAATGTTCTCAGCTCCAGGAAAAAAATATCACCTACCCAGAAATAGTGACTTCCTTTATTAGCCTAAGTTCTGTCAGTGAACATCTGTCATCACAGAATATTCTGTGGAGGAATACATTTTGGGGTGAGTACTACATAAGCAGTCTGAAGAAATACTAAATTATTTTACCTTTAGATTAGAATATTTTTTTAAAATATGTTTTGTTGATTTTTTTTAGAGAGAGGAAGGGAGAGGGAGAGACAGAAACATCAATGTGAGAGAGAAACATGGATCAGCTGCCTCCTGCATGCCCCCTACTGGGGATCTAGCCCACAACCCGGGCATGTTCCCTGACCAGGAATCAAACCAGTGACATAGGATGACAATCCACTGAGGCACACTGGCTGGGCTAGATTAGAATTTTTTAATTAAATGTTTTATTTTAAGATAAGTGTAGATTCGCATGCAATTGTAAGAAATAATAGATCTCATGTAGCCTTTATCCAGTCCCCTCAATGACAACATCGTGCAAAAGCATAGCATACTATCACAACTAGGATATTGACATTGATATAATAGATTATAATTTTTCACATTGAAACTCATTTGGGTCAAGGAAAGTGTTGACATCAATAAAGTTTTGATATCTCCTGATGGAGTTAATTTTCCATCTTCTACCACTTTACCTCTAGAAACTCTGAGCCTTTTAAACTACAGATTTATTAATTCAATAAATGTTTATTGGGCACATACAGCATGTCAGGTATTCTTCTAGATGCTGCTGTAATAGTGGTAAAAAAGAGAGACAGGCACTTGGAGCTCATATTCCAGTGGGGAGAGACAGCCAGTAAACAAGTAAACAACACGAGCAGCCATGTACAGGGACCTCCAGGCAGAACAAACTTGTCTTCTAACATCAGAAAGACCTAGGTATCACTGGCAAGGGGGACAGGAGAAGCAATCAGTGGAATGGCAAGTGGTGTGGGAGGAGACGAGGCTGAAGAGGCAGCCAGACAGGCTGGTACATGACCTTACTGGCCAGTGCGAGGGGCTGGATTTTTATGTCAAGGTCGTTAGGAAACCATTGAAAATGTTGAATCAGGGGCCTGCCATGATTGGATTCTTTTTTTTTTTTTTAAAGATCACTCCAAGTGTTCCATGTAGAGCTGTTGGGCAGACACTAGTCTGAAACAGGGAGACCTTTTAGGTTTTGGGGGCCTCTTCTCGTGGTCCAGGTGAGAGATGATGCTGGCGTGAACCACAGCGGTGGAGGTGGGGATGCAGAGAAGTGGGCTCAGGATCTCTTTTTGTGGCTCTCCCCTTCGTTATTTAGCCTCTCCCTCTGAGGTTGTAGAATGGCAGCCTTCTAGTAAGAGAAGAAACTTCTGTCGTTATGGTGAAAGGAAAGAATAAGATGTGCGTTTCCTGGCTTCAGATTCCCATCCACACGAGATGCTGCTTCATCATCGTTTCTCTTTGTTCTATTTGTTTTCTTCTATGAGTTTTGTTTTGTTCCTGTTTGTTTTGGCCTTTGCCTTTCATGTTGGAGGCTTTTCTCAATTTTCTTTTGCTGTCCATCTGTAAGTGTAAGGCCCGAGAAAGCTGCTGGGAGCTGTGCACGAAAGGGCAGGATGTGTTCATTAGCAGGCTCTTTGGTTTGAGG